CCCAAGAACATGGGTAGGAAAAATTATGTCTTTATTTTCATGATCCTCTAAGAATTTCCAATTGTAATTATAGACAACAGGTCACCTTCCCATGATTAGAACATTTCAGTGACTCTGTGACTAATAGCAATCGCAGATCTTTTTTTCCAGATCTGGGGATTGAACCCAGGACCTTGTGCACGCTAGGCAAGCTCTCTAGCACTGAGCTTCACCCCCAGCCCAATATTCTTATGTCACAGCACAGCTGTTACAGATGTCTGTCCCTCGCTACTTTGAATTATAGTAGTGATCAGATCTGCCACAACCTATGGCTCTTATTACATTAATGAAGAAGCATTCACTTATTTCATCACAAATGTATAGATATGTTTGCTAAGTGCCCTTCAGCACACTTGTTTTCTTTATAAGTTCATGTTTCTAATACATTTATAAATATTCCAGGAAGAGCTGGACGGGGAGGCTGAGGCAGGAGGACTGCCATGAGTTCAAGCCCAGCCTGGGCTACATAGTGAGTTCAAGGCCAGCCTGAACTACATAGAGAGACCCTGTCTCAAAAAAGAAAAAAATATATATGTATAAATATTCCAAGAAGGAGCCTGTTGGTCACCACCCACCAGAGGGTAAAGAGAGATAAAGAATGCATGTAAGGGATGGCACACAGCCACCTGCAGCTCCAGTGAGCGCTCACTCACTCACAGGTGCCCACACAGAGGTGTGCAGGGGCCTCCTACAGAAATGGGCAGGGTCATCTCCTCTGAATGGGACCCTCCCAAGGGGGCACATGTCAGCTCTACCCTGCCCCAAAGTCACCCTTGTCCTCAGGCAAGTTTCTGCATGGCACTGATGGCAATGACTCTCTAGGAAGCCAGACTTCTCCATGGTCCCCACAGTGCTGCACACCATGCTGGGGCCCAGGCTGGCCCACTGCCAGGAAGAAAGCACTCAGAAGTTCTCAGCAGCAGGGACAGGGACTTAGGCAGGGCTTTGGAGCACATCCCAAGCAAAAGCCACACTGGCCCTGGCCACCCCACCCTCACTGCCTGTCGCTTGAAAACCAGTGAGGACATTTTCCTTGACGGCGCTAGGATTACAAAGAGACCACCAGTGACTTGTCACTCTCCTTCACATAAACCCCCTGTCTCTGGGCTGTCACTCTGACACACAAGGTGGTCTCTGGCTGCTGCCCCTACCCTTGGTCATGGATTGGTGACAATTTCCAGAACTTCTGGGATTCAGGAGAGGTATGGAGAAAGCCAACACGAAACCAAATCTTCAAAGCAGACTCCAGGCAAGTAAATGATCTCTATCTGGTCTGCGACCCACCCAAAACACTGTGTGTTCTTGTTTTTACTCAACTTGGCTGTGTCTGTGTGAATCTGTGTGATGTTTGAAATTCTCCTTTCACGGTTTCTACATTCTGTGCTCACAGTGGGTGAGGCCCACATAGCTCTCTTCCCTACTATCTTACAGAACATAGAAAAATCTTCAATATGAGGTCTGATCAAAAACCATGACGAGAGCTGAGGATTTAGCTCACTAGTTCTGCCACCGGCCTCATAAGCACAAGGACCCGAGTTTGATCCCCAGTACCAGAAAAAAAAAAAAAACGTGATGAATGTTTAAATTCTAAAAAACTTATTGCAGTAAAAGACACATTGCCATTAATCCCCCTTGCTTTAAAAACATATATCCCACCATTCTTGCCACTTTCTGCAGCAGCTCTGGAAGTCCTCTTTCGTGAGTATCTTTAGTTGTGCTGTTCTAGCTACCTCCGTGTCCTGAGTTGGTTCCAAATGTTTGTTCAAGGTTTTTGACTTTGAGAAAGAGCTAAGAGCCACACAGTGCCAGATCTGGTGAACAAGGTGAATGAGGACTATTATGGTTTAGATCTAGAATGCTCCCTCAAAAGCCTCACGTGTTCAGAGGTGGGGCTTTTGGAAGGTGATTGGATCATGGTTGCTATAGCTGACTATCTCCCTCCCGAGCTCCTCCCTTCACTCTCTGCTTCTTGGCCACCCTGCCGTGAGTAGCTCTGCTCCACACCAGACCCTTTCACCACGCTGTTCCTGTATGTGAACCTGCCAACCATGGACTGAAACTTCTGAAACCATGAGCCAGTTGTTGGTGTCATGTATTTTGTCCCAGAGACAAGAAAGTGACTAAGACAAGGACACCCTGTAATGTGTTTATGAACCTGCCTTCCTGCTGGATGACACTCAACAGCAGCATTCACTGTATTTTTTTGTTGTTGTTACCAGGGATTGAACTCAGGACCTTGAGCTTGTGATGCAGGCGGTGGAACCACTGAGCTAAATCCCCAGCCCCTATTCACTGTATTTTTTATCACACCTCATAAAGACATTCACAAAAGAGAACTTTAAGAATTGCTTCAGAAAGTGACAAGAATGACGGGATATGCATGTTCTAAGCAAGGGGGAGTATTTTGAGGTAGATTCATGGCAATATGGTTTTTACTGTAATAATTTTTTAATTTAACCACTCATATTTTGATCACCTTTTATATAATACAAATTTTGTTAAAATGAAAAAGTATGTATTTCAGTGATAAGTAACAGATAAAACAACTTAAACTACTTTAAATGATGTATTTAACAGTTATTTAGCTTAAACGACACCTCTTAGTCCCACAGCTAGAGTCCAGGGGTAAGAATTCTTCAGGCAGGTTTAGTCAAGGCTCTGGCTGTTTCTCTGGTGTCCTCTCAGCTCTTCTCTGCTCCAAATGTCAACTCTATCCCCAGGCAGAAACAGCAAAATGTCTGCAGTGATTCCAAGCCTCAGATCTGCATGGCAGGCCATCTGGAGCCAGAGAGATCCCTTTCCAACTGTCAAGTAGAAACTGCCTCACCAACTCTTATTGGACTGATGTCAGTCAGTCGCTTTGGCCAAGGGCAGTTCCACATGCTGGTTTGCTTAGGCCTTACTGCTCATCCAGTATGCCATACTATCATTGGCTTATGCCAATCACGACCCACCCCACCCCAAAAAATATGCAAACAGTGGGGGACAGTGGGGTGACAGAATAGACCATGAACTGCTAAGCCGGCATCTCGGCTTCCAACTTAATTGGCACTGTCCTGGGGCCGGAGCCACTGACCAACACCACTGTGACCACTGAGAAAGCCCTTCAAGTACTAATTCAGGCACTGAGAGGCCCTCAGCCTGCCACAGGGCTCGCTGCCAGACACTCAAGTTCACTGGGAGATCCACAAGGTAGGGCTGATTCTCTTTGTGTGCCTCAGTTTCTCCACACGGACAAAGAGGGGACTGGAAAACTAAATCTAACGCTCTTTTCAACCAACAGGGCTTGTCCTCAGTGAGGAAGAGCTGCTAAACCTTGGCACCATCTCACAGGCCCAGGGATCCCTGTCACCTCCTGCCTGGCTCCTGCCACAGCCGCCAGTGGTCTCCCTGCCTCTGCTTCCTAGCCCAGTCCCGACCCAGTCAATCAGCCACTCAAGTCAACAGGTGTCCTTTACTGTGTCCCCAGCATGTTGGAGGTGCTGGAGGTCCCGTCCCAGGGACTTTGTAAGTCACGGGGGCCTCTGGGGTCCAGCTGGTGAGATGGGGACCCACACTGTCACCGCAGGTGGAGAGGGGACATGGAGATCCGCCTCGGACATGCCCTTGACAGGCGCACACTTGACAGCACACACCGCTGCCCACGTCTCCCCAGCCCCCCCACACCGGAAATGCTGAGATGCCCCAGCCCCCTTTCCACACGCGCCCCGGGCCTGGCCTGGCTCCTGCCACAAACCCACCAGCTTTCTCTTGCCCCTCTCTCCCTGTGCTGCAACCCCACTGACTCCCATCTGCAGAGCTGGGAGGAGAATGCAATGCCTGGCGATTTTCAACTGTGCCCGGTTTCTGGGCCTTTCTCCCCTGATGTAGGGGGTGAGCAGCAATCAGAGCCCAGCTGGGAGGTCGCCCCGCAGGATGGCCAGATCACCTAGGTCAGCCCAAGACCCAACACCCCGGGCTTGAAACGAAACAGCCCAGGGCAGATGTCACAGTCAGGTGGCAGCACCCTGGGCCAACCCTCCCTGGGGAAGGTGAGCCACTGCAAGGACAGGGACAGCAGCTGTGTCACGTGACTGGGAGGTAGGAAACCACTCAGGAGGCTGAGGCAGAAGGATCAGTGCCAGTCCAAGGCCAGCCTGAGCTACACAGTAAGATCCCGAATCAAACAACAAAAAAAAGGCAGGAAAGCAGGCTGAACTCTGAATGCCAGACTGTAAGTACAGGGTTCACCTCAACACGCTTTCCAAACTGGGTTCAAATACTTCCTCTTCCTGCCCCAGAAGCCAACCTCCTGGCCTCAGACCCACCTCTCTTCCGGTCTGGAAGTAGAGACACAGGTCTCCACTGCACCCTGGGGCCCACTGCTCCCACCCACGGGTTTCCATGGGTGTGTTGAACTTCTTGTGAAAAGCTGAGTGTAGTGGCACATGCCTGTAATCCTATCATTCAGGAGGCTGAGGCAGGAGGATGACCACTAGCTCAAAGCTGGCCTGGGCTATATAGTGAGACTTTGATTTTTTTTTAAAAAAATAACTTTTTATCCACTCAAACTGCCATCCTACTGTGCCTCAGTCACAGTCATCCTGTGGGACAGGCCTTATGCCGCAGGCATCCCGTTCTTCAGGGCTTTTCCTGCTTCAGCTGTCTCTGTCACCTATAGGATGTGGAGAAGCCGGGAAGATTCCTTCTCCTGTCTCACCCTCCCTCACCTTCTGCCCAGGGACATTAGGAGAATTAATGGGATAACAGATGAAGTGCCTCCAAGGAAAGAGGCGACATAAATCCAAAGTATTGTTATTAAATTCCGAATTTAGCCCTCGGGATGGGAGAGACCTGACAGATCTGGGCCGGAGCGCTCCCAGCTGTGCAGACAGGAAGTCCCTATAAAGTCAGAAGCCCAGGCACGGGCTTTGGGGGCGGAGGAAACGCTGAAACGCATGCAGGCCGGGGCTGTGACTCACCTCAGGCCCACGGAGACTGTAGCGACGCCTCGAGGAAACCGCCACGTTCCACTTCTTCACCGCCCTGACGGACGCGGGACGTCCCCACGCAGCACGTCCCCACGCAGCACGTCCCCACGCAGCCTCCTCCTCCATGAGCTCTGAGATTTGGAGTCGTCCTCCCGGCCAAACCTGCTTCTGGGCTTTTCCACAGCCTGGGAGAAATTGTACCCCTCTCCCAAGACAGCTCTGGACGAACAGAGCTGCTGTCGTCTTGTGTCTAGTGCTTCCTCTAATTGGCTTCCAAAGTGACACAACTCAATCCGGGCGTGGTGGTGCACACCTGTGATGCCAGCACTCAGGAGGCTGAGGTAAGAGGATCACCCCAAGTTCGAGGCCAGCCTGGGCTGTATATTGAGTTCAATGCCAGCCTGAACTAAAGAGTGAGACCCTTTCTCAAAGAAACAAAACAAACAAAAGTGACACTCCCAGGAGGGCCTGGGGACTGGGCAAAGAAGGGCCTGTCCCTTCACTCCGCTATCCACTTCCCACAGAGGCAGCTAGTGGAGCAGGAGCTTTTTTGTTATGGGGGCTTTTGTGTTTTATTTTTAGATAGGCTCTCCCTTTGTAACCCCCACTCCCTTCGAACTCACAGAGATCTTCCTGCCTCAGCCTCCTGAGTGCACAGGATCCACACTCAGGTGTAAGGCCATAACCTCCAGCACCGCTGCATTTGGCTCTTTCTTTGGTACCGGGAATTGAACTCAGGACCTTCCACCTGCCAGGCAGGTGTGGCACCACGGAGCTAAATCCTCAGCCCTGCATCTGGCTTTTTATAACCCCAAAGAAGCTCAGGATGACAGTCAAGCAGGTGGGACCTCCTAGCCCCTGCCACTGGACCCACACTGACCCACATTTCAGGCCCAGCTCCGCTACTTACAGAACAACTCTCAGCCAATGGCTTCAGTCCTAAATCTCAGTTTGCTGATCTCTGAAATGGGAACACTGATCCCACCTTGCAAAACTGTTGTGAAGACAATAAATAAAATATATAATGCGTCAGTGAGTAATGGGCACTGAGAGCCTGGGCTATGTAGCAAGACCTTGTCTCAAAAAATCTACCCAGGCATGGTGGTTCACACCTGTAATCCCAGGACTCGGGAGGCTGAGGCAGGAGGATCCCTGAGAGTTTCAGCTCAGCCTGGGCTGCCTACTGAGTTCAAGGTCAGCTTAATGTGTTACGACACTTCACACTCAATTGAGCAGGTGGCTAAAATCAGAAGTACAGATAAGGCTGGGGGTAGCTCAGTGGTACAGCACTCACCTAGCTTGTGCAAGATCCTGGGTTTGAAGCCCAATGCCAAAATAAGGGCCAGATAATAACAAGTGTTGGAGAAGACACAGGGAAACCAGACCCCTGGCACACTGTGGGGAAACAGAAAGCTGACTGCTATGGAAAGGTTTCCCCACACAATCCCAGCATGGCTGCCTGCAGCCCTAGCCCTTTGTTCTGTTCTGTGCCCCCAGCTTTCTAGTAAATTTTCCCTCGCACTTCAGAGCTTCCATTCAGAACCTCCCAATGCAGCGGGCAGGTAGGTGGAGGTCTCCAAAGCCACTGTCCCCCAAGGCCTGGGCTAGAGCAGCCCGTCTCCCCAGGTAGTGGAACCAGAGCAGAAATGACAAGGTGACTTCTAAGGAGGCCTCTGTGGGGAATGGTGGCCTCTCCCAGGACCCAGGTGCAGGACAGGGCCCTCTTGGGGTCAAGAAAGCGCTGACCCCACACTGGTGGGTCCCTGAGTGAAGAAGCCCTCAGCTCTCACATGCATAGTGGCACACACTTGTACTCCCAGGAGGCTGAGGCAGGGAGATCACAAGTTCAAGGCTGGCCTGTGCAACTTCACGGGACTATCTCAAAATAAAACTAAAAATATTATTCAAGCTGGGGCTGTAGCTCAGTAGTAGATGTTTGCTTAGCATGTGTGAGGCCCTGGGTTCAATCCTCAGCACTGGGGAAAACTTTTTTAAAGACGTTAGCTGGATATACTGCACATACCTGCAATCCTAACACTTGGGAGGCTGAGGCAGGAGGATCTCTGCAAGTCCAAGGCCAGCCTGGGCTACATAGACTCTGTCTCCCCCTTCCCCACCCCCCCCAAAAAAGGCCTCTGAATAGCACAGAGCTGGTGCCTCGCACAAGCCTGGGCCAGGGGCTCTCTTGAACCCCTTCGGGCTCTGGGAACACACACAGCTACAATGCCAGAGACCTGCTGCCCAATAGAGGCTTGGCCAGGTAAGGGCCACAGAGCACAGGTGCCCTGCCCAGATTAACGAGGTGCCGCAGAAGCCCCCTGGGGCAGTGTCGTTCACAGAAGAAATACACCCTGCAGAGGAGAGGAGGAGAACGCGGTGTAGATCTTTCATTCTTCCCAGCAACGCAGAGCAGAAATCTGTAGAGGCAAATCCTAGACGCCTAAAGATATGGACATTTTAGAAAATCCAATCACACAGGCTCCACCTTACTGCCTCGAAGGGCGTTCCTTGGGGCGCTTACTTAGCAGCCACGCGGATGGACGTCCTGCGTGCCTGATTGCAGGGAGCCCCACAACCCCAGCCCGGAGAAGCACGGCTCAGTCTCGTCCTCGACTTCCCAGGGTGGACCTGAGACGCGGCGAGAAAGAGGTGCTGACAGCCTCCCTCTCAGAGGCACTTCCTCACCTTAGGGGGAAACTGAGGCCCCTAAGAGTGGGAGGGCCGCAGAGCGATGGCCAGGACAGGGTCCGGGACCCAGCACTCAGATCCCCACCCAAGCATCACGGCCTCACTCAGCGCTGGCCACGCCGGCTCCGGGCTCCTGGCCCTCTGTGACCCAGAGAAACTGCACGATGCCCGCTGGGCAGCTGCCGAAGGGGGCGCTGTGTGCACAGGATCTGCAGACAGTCCCGCTAGGGCAGGCGGACACCGCCGTGTGGCCCCAGGCCCAGCTTCCTTCCCTACGAGGGCTGAATCCTATAAACAAGATTCCCGCCCCCATGAGACCTTCTGGGAGAAACGGAGTGACCTCCCCGCGTGTCTGGCACAGGCTTTCTTCCTGCTAACAGGGGGAGTGACTAACAAAGCCTGCCGCTCCCAAGCCTGTGCCCACAGTGCCCCCTTGTGGGAGGCTGGGGGATGCCCCGATCGCTCGCCAGGGAAGGGCGCGCCTGGGCAGCAGTCATTCCTGGTCTCCGTGGCTGTCCCCTCTGCGATGCTCTCCCGCACCCTTAGCTCAATGGTTCTAACTTGAGCTGCATCAGGATCACCTGCAGGGACCACCCTGTTTCTCAGAGGTGCGAGGGTAGGGCCTGAGAACTGGCATTTCTAGCAGGTTCCAGGATGAGGTTGAGCTGGACAGATACGTGCAGAATTCCTGCCTCACAGTGGCTCAGCACAAATGCCAGCTCCTCAGAGACAAGTGCCCAAATGCCCCTCAGAGCAGTGCAACCTTCGCCAAGTTCCTTCACCTGAGCCTCAAATTCCTCATCTGTAAACTGGGGGTAGTCTGGTGTGGCGGTGCATGCCTATAACCCCAACACTCAGGAGGCTGAAGCAGGAGGATCGCTGTTAGAGGTCAGCCTGAGCTACATAGTGAGTTCAAGGTCAGCCTGAACTACATAGTTAAGACCCTGTCTCAAACCAGTTAATTAATCAATTTCAAAATGGGGGTAATTGTACCTCCCTCAGAGAGTATAAAAGGTAAAATTCATGCTTAGTTTCCTCAGTACCTAGCACATAATATACACTCCAGTGTTTGCTAGTTGATGAGTTTCTTTGTTTTTCCTTTTGATACTGGGGGTTGAACCCAGGGCATCATTATTTTTATTAGCAGTAGGGATAATATCACCATTCACTTACCAGCTTCCTGAGAACAGGAACAGTAACCTACTAGAGATACAGAATTCTGAGGCAGAATGGACCTTGGAGAATCTTTGGTCCAAAATTCCCCACACCTAGCAGCTCACAATCATCAGGGAAGTTGCAAACTGGGGCGAGAGGCTGGGTGTATTTTCAACCACCACCACCCCCAGGCACCAGGGTGGGAACTACTCGGTGAGTCGGCTGTGACAGGGACGGGGAGATGGAAGCCCACATGTCCACCGCCCACCCTGCCCCTGCTGGCAGGGGTGCTGGGTGAGGAACCGCCCTCAGGGCCCCGGTCCTGTCCGGCCACACCGCCTGCAAGGCACCCAGCCCTGTCTGTCCCGACAACCTCTCCAGGCGCATTGCCCACCAGGCTCTCACTGCACACCACCCTGCCCGGCTGTGGACACAGGGGCCTCGTATCTGGCACACAGGAAGTGCGAGGGTAAATGGACAGGGAAGGACAGCTGAACCCCTGTGAGGAGCGATATTCACTCACTGGACCCCACCACGGCGCTGAGAACTCAGACTGTCCTCCTTCTGCACTCTCTCAGCCAACCTGAAATCTTGAAATGGAATCTCTCCTAGCAGAGACACACTGTGCAGCTGTGCCGGATACCCCCACCATCAGGCAGGATGTCCCAACTCAGAAGAGGAGTGACAGCCACCACACTCTGCTCCTACCCTCCTGTCTCGTCTCCTTCCCCTGTAGGATGGCTGGTCCCACTCTGCCTCCAGATTCCATGTCCTGTGGCCCCAAATGAGGCCCCTGCTCCTGTGCTTCTAATTTAGATCATGTTCTTGGCCTGTTTGTATAACCTCTCCCAGCAGCCTCCTGGGACCCACCCTCCCAGTACCGATCTTGGCTCTGGATCCCAATTGTGTCAAGATCATGCTACTCATGGCAAGGATGGAAGCCAGGCCACTGGATCACAAGTTGTTTAGCCTCTCAGCCTTAAGGTGAGGGACTTTTATTTTGGTTTTCTGAGTCAGCATCTTGCTCTGTAGCCGTGCTGGCCTTGAACTTGAAGCAATCCTCCTACCTCGGCCTCCTGAGTGCTGGAATTACTAGTGTGTCCCCATGCCCAGTATCGGGAACAGCTTGCTTACCTCCCCAGATCATAGAACAGGGACTGGTACACAGCAACTCAGTAAATGGGGAGTTTGGTTGGCCACCTAATTCTTGCTCCATACCCCCACAGCAAAGGCATCTTACTGAGCACACCACGTGGAGACAAGTCACGAGCCTTACTCACTATTGTACACCCACCAGAAAGCAGGTATTCAATGAGCACTGAATGAATGGATGTGCAGCGGATCCTCCGGTGCCAACACAACTGCATTCCAATCCTCGATAAGTTGCACAGTCGTCTATACCCTCTCCAACAGGGGCTGGGTAAGACCTGTCTTTTTGGGTACTGTGCAGGTTAGAGATCATTGTTCATGTAGTTTGTTTTGGTTTTTGTTTTTGAGACAATGTCTTGCTTTGTGTTCAGGCTGGCCCTGCACTCACTGTAGCCCAGACTGGCCTAGAACTCCTGGCGATCCTCCTGCCTCTGCCTCCTGAGTGCTGGGATTACAGGCATGCACCACCACGCCTGGCCCTATGTTCATGTAGTTTATAACAGGTGCTGCCCAGGAAGTGCCTGCAAGCCCTGGGAGTTAGACAGTGTCCTCAGCCAGCCACCTGGAGGACCTCTGCCTGGACACTACCACAAGTGCTGATCCTCCTCGGGAGCAGTGCCATAAGCCCCAAGTTCTAGGAACTCGACCTATCCCTGCTGGACCCCCTCAGTGTGGATCAGAGCCTGAGCACGCCTGCTTGTCTGCGCCATCTCTTCCGAGCCATCTTCCTGGCTGATGCCTTCAGTGAGCTGCAGGCTCCTCCGCTCATGGGCACTGTCGTCATGGTGCAGGGTCACCGCAACCGTGGAGAGGAGTGGTTTCGACCCAAGCTCAACTACCGGGTGCCCACCTGAGGTCACAAACTCACCGTGACCATCCTGCGGCAGACCTTCCGTGCCAGCCTTGGCCTCTGAGGATTACATTTAGTTCCAGGCACCAGTGACGCTAAGGGTTTCCATGAGTGACTGAGGGCGCTTCTTGCTCTAAAAGCACATTGGCTGCATGCTCTGTCCCTGTGGCACCTGGTCACTGCCTCTTATGAGCCGAATTCCTTCCTGGTGAGAGAAGGTGGTGCTGCCTCCCTTCTCAAGCTTCAGATGGCTGAAGGTGTAGCCAGGACAGAAATCATCATCATGGAGCACCTCTCTGAATCAAGCTGGTCTCCCAGAGGGTGCTGGGTCACCTTTGTTTGGGGTGGGAAAGCAAAGATGGGGCCACAGACAGACTCTTACTGAGGTGGCCTCTTCTGCTTCAGCTCTGCCCTTTCAGGATTTTTCCCAGGTTAATAATGTATGTGGCTCATGATGAATTTATATATGAAATGAATAGAATATTAAATTTTCCTGAAAGTAAAAATAAATAAATAAACAAACAAACAGGTGCTGCCTCAGCTCCAGAACCACAAATGCTGTCTTTAAGGACAGCCTCCCAAAATCAACTTGCCAGGGAAGGAGGCAGAATAAACAAAAGTTGCCTATTTAGGCATAGCCAGCAACAAACAATTCAGACACCAGTGCTAGGACAGGTCAAGAGCAGCACCCCAAATATTCGTGCAGACACAAATTGCCCCTTTTCCAGAACTAATTCTAGCTTTCCTTCTTACTGATCTTCAAAGCTTGATGGTTAAGCGCTGGTGTAGCTATGCGCCAGGCCTTGGATTCAATCCCCAGCTCCACCACCAAAACCCCGCTCACACTCATTAAGCCGCAGCTTCCGGCTGCAACAAGGGCAGGGAAGGGATTCCCTCCGGATTCCACTCCTAGTAGGCTTCGAATTCTTACCAAGGCTCTTCCGAAGCCTGTTGACAGCACTGCACGGTCTGGTTACTGTCAGGGCCAACAAAGTGCTGAATCTCCAAGAATCCCCCAATTCAATAGCACGATTGTCTGCAATTTAAGGCAAGTTCCTGCAAGCCCTGGCTTCCTGTCACACAATTGCTTAGCACTTCAGTTTCCACACTGCTCTCAGACACTGCATCGTTTGAGTCTCAAAACAGCCTGACCCGGGGCGGCAGAGCAGACCCTACGGAAGCCCGTTTAAAGAGCAGTTAACCCCCAGAGGACCAAGTGACCTCCAGAAACACCCAGAGGGACCTGACAGCAGAGCGCAGAGTGGACACATGTGGACAGGGATGCAGGCTGGCTGCAGCAGCACAGGGTACAGAGCTGGAGGACACCCACCCCAAGGGGCACAAGTTAACCCTGAATCGGCTCCAACCCTGGGACCCTGGAAGCTGCATCTCCAGCTGTGTCCTCTGTGCCTCCACACTCTGCACTTAAAATCCTGCTCTCATGCCACACCAGCCACTGGGGCGGACCCTAGCTAGCAGACCTAGCATTCCGCACCTGCCTTACCAGCAGGCCAGTCCTCCTCCATCCGGGTCCTGCCAAGGGAGCACATCCCCCCGCAAGAGCAAACAGGGCCACAGGTCCCACAAAGCCCAGTGTGCACCCTCAGCAGAGCCAGACTCAGCAACTCCAAAGGCCCTGCTGCATACACCTCTGCCCTGCCCGGCCCTCCAGACCACACGCCTCCTGCTTTCATGGTGTACTTTTCCTGGGAGCTCTTCCACCTAACCGTGTCTTCCAGGTGTCCACTCTTCCGAGACCATCTGGACATGGTCCTGACTAGCATTTCCACACCCAGCTCCCAGACAGGCCCTTCTAAGGTGCAAACTTCCGGGAAAGTGGCATCCCAAACCCAGAAGGAACCAATGCCTCTTCTCCCCCAGCCCAAACACTCCAGCTCCTTAACTTGGGACCCTCCAACCACTGGCTACCCTGCAACACCTCCCTCCCAGAGTTCCAGCACTGCACACAGGCCCAGTAACTGACACCCTGGGCCCTTACCCCAAGGCCTGACAGCCAACCCCAGACTCAATGTGTGAGGAAGAAGGACACATGACCCTCACTGTTAAGTTACAAGAGTTGGATGACTTATCCACCAACCAAGTACACCCCAAACCCACGTATTTATCAGACTACAGTGGCCTTCAAATTCCTCCCTCACAAAACACACCGACCCGACCCCACCCCACCCCACATAGACAAACTTGCAACACAGATGACAGATCCTGTTCACTCCAGGTAAATAAGGATGAAGTGATCTAATCAGCAACTTCTACCAAAGCCCCCAGGAAACTTAAGTGATGACTAAGCTGGGGTCTAGGACACCTTCCTGGCTGCTAGGAGGAAATGACATCACCCCCAGCCCGAGTCCTTGCCGAGGACTTGATGCACAGGAACAAGGTGGCAACTTAAACCTGCAGCAATAGCAAACATAGTTAGCATCCAGTAAGCCGCTGCACAGACTCCAAACAGCCAGACACAGGGAAGTTTTTACAGTTTATTAATCCTCTCGTGAAAAACCCGCAGTCACTGCAGACAGGCACTGCAAAATCTTTACTCCTTTGGCTGTGAAGCAAGAGAAAGAAGTTTAGTCAGCAACTGCCTTGAAATGCTCTAAAGTTTCAAGTCTTCAAGAAATTCCAAAATTAACAACATTCATGCAGAACACACATTAGTGACCTAGAGTCGTTACACTTGTGAGACAACGTAAGTGACAAAAATGAAATTAAAAAAACCATTCAAGTTAGGAATTAAAACATTAAACATTACTAAGTTTAAAAAAACACAATTATAAAAAATAAAAAAAACAAAAACACAACCATGTCACTGTTAGTATTTTAAGAGGTTACAACTCGGAGCATTTGCAAATCGACATATGAACACATTTTACTGTGGCTGAGTAAACCAGGGAATCTAGTAATCTACGTAAGAACTGGAATTATACCTGTTCTCCGATCTCCAGCTCACTGAACCAGTAGCAGGGAAGGGAAAGAGGAAAAGAAACAGTTAATGGTCCCTTTCCAAACTCCAAAGTAACCTGCAGTAAGTGCATGCAACCAGATACCTGCATATGACCCTTTGTGCTTTGTGACTGCACCCAGAATGCTCCTCAAACACAATCCCTGATTTCACTCCTCCCGGTTCCCAGTGCACCTTAGCTGTGATGTTAACGAGGTGGCGTTGTCACAGTGGAGAGGAGAGGCCAGCAAGCCAGCGTGGTGCCAAGCCCAGGCTGCCCCTGCCTGGAGCCTTGGTACCCCAGACCTCAGGCCTGGGACTCCCCAAGTGCTCAAGTCTAAGCCAGCCCCAGCGGGAGCTCTAAAAGGGGCAGGCAACCCTTTTAAAGCTGTCTCAGTTCAGTACTTTAAAGACAACACTCACAGCACAAAAGTAGTACAAATTAATATTAAAATCAAGAGGCAGAATTTTAACTGCAGTAAAAATGCTAATTGCTATTCATACATGAGACTACTTAAGACTTTTTAAAACAACTCCATTACACCCAAGAGGGAAGAACAAATACCAATGCTAACATCAAACCAAGCTGAATTAAAGGGAACATTACTGGTGGGGCATGGTGGTGCACACCAGTAATCCCAGCACTCAGATAGCTGAGGCAAGAGGACCAGCCTGGGGTACAGTGAGCTCAAGGCCAGCCTGAACTGCAAGGCGAGGCCTTGACTCAACACACCAAAAAAATTAACAAATGAATTCATAAATATAAGTATATAAATAAGCCAACATTACTATGCTGACTTTTTCTAACCCAAAGAGTACAAGTGCTCATGTCTGCATTCATTTCCAACTGGCTTTTCAGAGCAGCGCTCCTGAAGTCACCAGAGCGACCTGAAGCAGGAACAGCAATGACTCGGGCTGCCCCCCGGAAGTCCCTCTGCACACGGGGGACTCAAAGCTGATCACTAGCCAGCAGGCTCCAAGGCTGAGTGAAGAGAAGAATGGGGGGGGGGGGCGGTTAAATGTCCTTCACAGCAGGGTGAGGAGCAAATTCTGAGCGCCTTTCTGCTCCTTCTGTCAACAGCACTGCCCTCCCACCACGCTGAGGAGGGGCAGTTCCACGGGCAGCAGAGCCCTGGTCACAACCATCCCTAACCCTGTGCTCTGGACACTGATGTGATCGCTCCTGGCAGGGAGACCAGGTTTCCTGCCTTGCCTGGCAAGGAGTCAGCAAGTCAGAGGTAAAGGCCTCTGCCATTTCAAATCTACCCCATGCTCAGCACCCTCCACGGGTTACAAATCAAGGATGTTCAAATGTGCAAAAATGTGTGTGAAACACAGCGGACCATTCAGAGCACACACTTGTGGAGAAAGCGCTACCCAAGGCTTTGATGTAATATCCTAATTCAAAAAAATTTCCTCCAAAAAAGAGGGGCTGGGAATTTAGCTCAGTGATTCCAGCGCCTGCCTTGCAAGTTCAAGGTTCTGAGTTCAATCCCAGGTACCCAAAAAAAAAAAAGGCAGCACCAGGTGTGGTGGTGCACACCTGTTATCCTAGCACTCAGAAGGCTGAGGCAGGAAGATCGCCTTGAGTTCGAGGCCAGCCTGGGCTACAGAGAGTTCAGGGCCAGCCTGGGCTACAAAAGGAGACCCTGCCTCAAAAAACAACAGTCAGGGATTTAGCTCAGTGGTTCTGTCACCTGCCCCACAAGCCCAAGGATTGGAGTCTAATCCCCGGTACCAAAAAAAACCAGAAGGGCTAGAGATGTGGCTCCATGCTAGAGCACTTACCTAGCTTGCACGAGTCTCTGGGCCCAATTCCAAATATAGGGTGGGAAGGGTAGAAAATTGGAGATGAGGCACATACTAGAAGGGAGGGGGCTTGAGGGGGGGAATGGGATAAAATTTATTTGTAAAAAAAAAAAAAAAAGAAATGGACCAGGGTGTGGTGGTGCACGCCTGTAATCCCAGAACTCAGGAGGCTGAGGCAGGAGGATGCTGAGTTCAAGGCTAACCTGAACAACATAGCAAGACCCTGTCTCAAGAATAGAAAAATAGGGGCTGGGGATTTAGCTCAGTGGTTCTGCTGCCTGCCTCATAAGCACAGGGACCTGAGTTCAATCCCCGGTGCCAAAAAAATTTTTTTAAAAAAACTAAAAGAAATATGTAAAAGAAATGAAAATGGTAAACATCTGCTTTGAGAGGATGCTATCAGAAATTCATGAACCAGTTTTTTCTTACCAGAGCTGCCCAAACTCCACTGGCGCCACAGATCGAGGGGAGCCTGCTGTCCTGCAGTGCGGGCTTTCCCAGGAGCTAACTACTGGGTCTCCAAAGAACAAGCTCTAGGGTGGAGTTTCCCAGCACAGGCGGAGAGGGCCGCAGGGCAGGGTACCTACCTGTTTCCAGTGAGTCCCCTCACCACTCAACATGCACTTGCTCCTTTCCAAACCACACGTGTTCAAACGTGTGCTTGGCCCGTACCGTACCCTCACTACTCGGCCCTGGTACTCTAAGTGATACTACGGTTCGTGTAACACTCGTCCAAAGCCAACATGCAAAAAGCGCCATAGCAATCCGTGAAGGTGCTGCATCCCCACACCGTGCTATAATCTCAGTACCTGCCAGACACTTCATTTCTGATGAACAGTAATCCAAGACAGTAGAGGGAAAAGGCAAAAACAAAGTTCACAGAACACTTGATTATTTGATTTCACAACCCAACACCTTAATTTCATCCAACTATTTAAAACTAGCTAGCAAAGCAGACACAAAAGCTGCTATCATTAGAATCACTGATCTGGGCTCACAGGAGAGGCAAGCAGCCCTAGGTCCAGGATGCCTCTCCAGCGTGCCCCGAAAGCACGGGCCACACTGGTCCAACTGCTTCAGAAACCAGAGTCATTATGAGAAACCAACAGCCCCAGGGAACGAGACCTGTTCTGCTGTCCATGCCAATCAGGAGTGAAAAGCTTCCCGCGAGAGCGCAAAGGCGCACCTCGATCCCCCAAACCAGTGTGGCCCCATGCTGGCTGATCTACTCGCTGATGAGGGTGGGCCAAGCTACACTACTGCGTGTCAAGGACACTACTGTGCTAAGTGGCATCTCGAAACACGTTACCTTCTGTAATCCAGAAGAGGGAGAAAGAAGAAACATTAGAAAGGTTATTAAGAAAACAGAACAGCTCCTTTCCAGAAACTAAAGACCTATAATTCACGACCCTCCTGCATCTGCCGTGACCCGTACCTTTTTGCCAGCACCAACATTGGCCTTTGCAGTGCCCCTGACTTTCTTCATTCTGTTCTTGCGTTCCTTCCGCTGCTTTCTTGATGTCTTTTTCTTCTCATACAGGCCATGCTACAGGAGACAAGCGTGTATCTCAGTATCTGCAAACACTTAACACACCATTACCTACAACTCTGGTAGGGAACTGTCCAGGTCAGGGGTTATGAAACGCAACAAAAACTTTTCTTTTTGAACTACCAAGACACCACCTGCTGGATGTGGTGGCACATGCCACGCCTGTAATCACAGCACTCTGGGAGGCTCTGTCAGGAGGCGCTCCAGTTCAAGCCCAGCCTAGGCAACTCAAAAACTTAACTATAATCCTGTTGCCAAAAAACCCCCAAACAAAACAAAAAACAAAAAACCCACCTTCCAACTGGCTTTTAGAGCCCTCTTCCCATTTCAACCCCTCTCCTCACTGGGGTCAATGAAGTCTTTATTTACCAAGGGCTCTACCCCCTCTACATTCCTATTCATCTCCATTGTCTACTTTTCTGGTTTTTTGAAACAGGGTCTCACTTTGTACCCCAGGCTGGCCTCAAACTTGCAGTCTTCCACCTCAGCTTCCCGAGTGCTGGGATGACAGGTGTGCACCCCTGCACCCACCTGCCACTGTCTGCTCCTGCACCTGCAGTTCTTGCTGCCTAGCTGATGTTTTTCAACTTTTACCAGGATCTCAAGTTACATCCTCAACCAGGTCTTCCCAGAACCCCCAACCATGACATCACCTGTTTCCCTTACAAATGTTGTACAGGATGACTAGCCTAATAACAAGCAGCAAAGTGCGTGGATGACGAGGGGACAGATGAAGACATCAAGGAAACATCTGTCACCAAGCTGTAAGGTAAGCAGCCGGCCCAGTTCATGGCTGGAGTTCACTCTGCGGGGCTTGGTGCTCAATACACAAGCGAAACCCTTCTGTGGCTCCTGGCTACCTGTGGAATCAAGTCCAAACTCACTGTCTGGTACTGACAGGTCTCACTGAATGTGGTGCCAGGCTGCAGACTTGCTCCCCCAGCCCATCTCCAGAAACTCCATTTTATCTGCCTTCCACTTAAATTCTGAAACCTCCAAACTGTGCATTACAAGATTATCTTTTTTTAAAAAAGCTTATCTTAATCCATTTGGGTCTTTGTGTGTCTACATGTTGTCCTCCTACACTACACAGTCTTGTTCACTCTATTACACCCACACTACAAAGGTATGGAAAACTGAGTCTTAAATCGCTGGTGAACAAATCAAAGGTACCTACTCTTGCAAGTCTATGTTTGGGTTCATTTTTCTTCGCATAATCCAAAGAATCATAAATCATGCCGAAGCCAGTTGTCTTGCCACCCCCAAAATGGGTTCTGAATCCAAATACAAAAATGACATCCGGTGTAGTCTTATACATTTTGGCGAGTTTTTCCCGAATTTCTGTCTTGGGTACTGTTGCTTTCCCGGGATGAAGGACATCAATGACCTAAAAGGATTTAAAGTTTAGTGTTAATTATAATGAAATACAAAGAACAAATTAAGTAAAGCTTAATATGGCCTTCCTTACCATTTGTTTCCTTTGAAGTAGTCGGTTGGTCATGAACTTCCGGGTCCGGATAGTTACCGTGTCATTCTGAAAACATTAACACACTAGTTAATAAAATGACTCAAGCTTTTCTTGATGCTGCTGTGATTTTTCCACTATCTACAACTACACTAGTTTAATAGCCATATGGCTCAGTAATTAGAACTCAACAATATTTTAAAACCAACTCAATTTCAATTCTTCAATTTTTTTTTTGAGACAAGGTGTCACTATGTGGTTCATACTGGTCTTAAACTCACTATGTATCCCAGGCTGCCCTAGAACTTTCAGATATCTTCCTGCCTCAGGCCCGAGTGTTGGGATTACAAGCATGCATCACCACACCCTCAAGAGGAACCTTAAAGCATGGACAGGAGACTGCAATGAAAGGTAAAAAGACAAATTCCCATCTCCACTGAACACACCTAGCCTGGTGCTAACCTGCCAGGACATACCTAATGGTAACAACAAACCGCACTACAGGTTTCTGTCCATCTGGAAATCAAGTTACTTCCCTTTCTAAATTATGGGTAACACTCTGGGGCAGTGTTTCCCAACATCTGCACTACTGACATTTTAACCCGGGTCAGGAGACTCTGTCACAATATATAATACCTGGTCTGTAACAACTACATACCACTAGCAACTTAGTTGTGCCTAACTACAATGTCTCTAAACTGCCAAATGTTTTAGTTAGGGGCAAATAACCCCTCCAAGTGAGACTCATGTCTGCACTCAGTCCTAAATCTTACTCTGAGCCCTGATTATAAATCCTGCACAACTGTGACGCAAATGTTACACTCGCTGACATTTACTACTTACATATTTACTCTCCCCTTCTCGAAAAGCAACAAAGACCTCACAAGAAAACCGTGTTCCCTTCTGAATTACCCAACAGCTTTTATTTTATGGACCAAGGTACGCAGACATTTATCAAGCTTATGTTGGCTAAAAATAAGTTTACCAAATCTTAGGGGAAACGCTGTCACCAGCGACTGACTTGCTAAAGGTCCTTTCTATTTCAGTTGGAGAACCCATATAACAGAAATCACCTCAACCATACTGTGCCTGAAAGCGAAGAACAAGCAGAAACAATTGCAAGGTGGAGCAAAAAGTAAATGTTGGCCCTTTAGTTATGGAGCTCACTGATAAGAGGCTTTGGGCAAGGCATCCTTTTCCGGGGCCTCCGTTTCCGCAACAGGAAAGGAGGGTCCATTCGGCCGACAAGTTTTCTAGTTTACGTGTAGACGCGGTACCACTCGCCCGGGGGTCGGCGACACTTGCTTCACTCCACGGGCTGCCGTGGCCTGCAAGCTGCATATCGCTGCCGGGGGCTGCAGGAGACACGTGCCGCCTAGTCTACCCCCAACCCGCACGCTGCGCTCCTCGAGGTCAACAGCGCAGCAGCCGCTGTCAAGAGTCCCCAGGCCCTGAAGCTCGAATCCCGGCGTGTCCTGTGCCTTGGCGCGGCCCGCCAGCCAGCCCCGACTTCCGGCAGCGGCTCCAGCAGTCTAGGCGACCGGCCCCCGAAAGACACGACCAAAGGAGACGAGCCGGGCTGCAGGCGGCTTTATCTCCGACGGCGGGACTGGGGCACGAAGGATGGCCCGGATTTGTGGCGGATAACGGCCCAAGTCTGGGGCGACTCACCATGATGGCAACAGATCCTCAAGCAGCCAGGGAGGGAAAGAGATATGCTCTCCTCCGGCCAATCATATCAACGCGTACGGAAGGACCCCGAGCGGCGCCGGCGTGGGGGCGTGTCCATAGCCGCGAGGCCGACCATGGCAATGCCGGATTGAAAATGCCTAAAACCCCGCCTCCCAGACCTTTGGCCGCACTCCTGGGCTGCTGGACTGGCCAATCCGGAAGCAGTACAATTCCAGAGGCTAAATTCACGCGCGCACGTGTTCCATTTCAGCTCAATTCTTTCTGTGGAATTAGTCTTATTCAGCATCTCCCTAAACCACATTATAGTTAAAACTGCTTTCGTCCGAACTAGAGGTGGGTGGACCTTTAAGGCATCTTAGGAGATCTCAGCTGGCGTCCTCATTTTACAGCTATGGAAACGGCAGAAACCTGGACTGAAAACCTTTGTTTTCTCAGGGGTACCACACTGCATGTTTTATTACTCATATAATGTATATGTTACTTTCTGGGACTTTTATGGTGATCCTCTGATTTAAAAGGGTTTTTTTGTTGTTGGTTGGTTTTTTGAGACAGGGTCTCTCTATGTAGCCCAGGCTGACCTCGAACTCCCAGCGATCCTCCTGCCTCAGCCTTCCGAGTGCAGGGATTACAGGCGTGAGCCACCACACCCAGCCCGAAACAGTTTTTTAAGCACTTGATACTATTCCCCAAATTTTAATCCTTACACAAATGCACATCTAGTGTTTGTTTGATCCAGAAATTTGTTTTGCTTAAAGAGGAACAGATAAGTAAAGAATGTAAGTGTCCATGAACCAAGGGAAACATTGGGAAGAACTCCCCAGAGCTTAGCATGAACATGGGTCCAGGCCCCAAGGGCCGCCTGAACATTCTTGGGAATGGTGAAGAACTCCTCCAGTGGTTGGTAGGTGCCTGTTACATGCTAATCACTTTTACCTTTATTTTGCCATTTAATCTCATCAACTCTTAAGAAATATGGGACTTGGTGCTCAGCCTTTTTCTAGATGAGGAAACTAAGATATAATGAAGGTAAACAACTTTCTCAACGTCACATAACTTCTAAGGGTTCCACGGTGCTACTGAATCCAGAACTGTTTCTCTTAACCTCCAGTGATGCGTCACTCACTGTCTGAACCTTGCTATAGTCTTCTTACCGGGTTCTGGGGACTCCTAGAGATTTTTTTCCAGGTTCTTCCTGCCTTGAACAAAAGCTGGACAAAAGAAGAACAAAAGGTACCAAGATTTTACATTTCCTAAAGGTAGGAAAAGAAACATGCTCTGCAGAGCAAGTGTGGGCCAATGAAAAGTAGAGAAAAACCACATGCTGCAGGGTGAGAGGAGACCATAGTGAAAGACAGTGCAGGGGCCAGGGATTTAGCTCAGTGGTTCCGCCGCCTGCCTCAAAAGCACAAGGTCCTGAGTTCGATCTCTAGTACCAAAAAAAAGAGAGAGAGAGACAGCACAGGGCCCAGAGCTCAGGGGCACCATCCTTTGTAGCCCCAGGCTGACTTCAGAGCTGGGCTGTCTCGAGTTGTCCCAGGAAGAATTGAAGTCAGCACCTGTGTGTGTGTGTCTGTGATTTTTTTGAGACAAGGTCTCACTATGCAGTGCAGGCTGGCCTCAAACTCATGGGGATCCTCCTGCCTCAGCCTCTTGAGTGCTAGCATTACAGGCATGCACCACCGTGCATGGCAGAAGACAGCACTTTCTGATTGGTTCCAAGAGCAGGGCTGGGTGCCTGTCTCCTGGCACACCCACTTGACCAGCCATTTTGCCACACCCTAATCTCCTACCTCAGTCTCTGAATCCATAGGCATTTGGTTCCACAACCTCTGCTCTAACCTCAAACCAGAACCCATCATGTTGGAGTCCCTTATATGAAATGGGGTATCATTTGCATATGACTTAATGCACGTGTACCCATACACTTTCATTACTATTATTTAGTCAGGTCTTTGCTGCTCAGGCTGGCCACAAACCCTGCGCAGCTGATTCTTGTTCTTCAGTCTCCTCCCCCCATCAGCTGGGACTACAAACATGTACCACTGCACCTGGCTTCCACATGTTACCAGGTTCTGGAGTTCAGTAGACAATTTCCAGGTTTGTTTGTTTTTTTTGTACTGGGGATTGAACTCAGGACCTTGCGTTTGCGAGGCAGGCAGTGGAACCACTGAGCTAAATCCCCAGCCATTTTCCAGGTATTCTTTATGGGTTCTTGGGGTCCTGAACAATGAGTTGGACAAGACAGGTAAAAAGGCAAGGCCTTAACATTTATGAAAGGTAGGGAAAAAAGCATGCTCTGCAGAGTGAGAGTGGATCACTGAGAAAGCTCACAGTGGCCACAAGGTTAATGGCAGAGGTCTTTTCTATCCCCCATCCCTCCCTCAGGCTGATGTCAGATCTCAGCCATCTTATCAAAAATCTGCTTGATTTTGCACCAGAAAAATTAAAGATAGGACTTTCTGATTGGTCCCAGGCTCAGGGTTTGGGAACAGTTTGCAGACCACATCCCAGATCTCCATGACTTACAGGTCACAACCATTTGCCCAGCTAGTTAGCCACAACCTTACCTTCTGTCTCACATATAGATTTTTTTTTTTTTTTTTAAAGACAGGGTCTCACTATGCAGTTCAGGCTGGCCTTGAACTCACTGTGTAGACCAGGCTGACCTTGAACTCCCAGCAAGCCTCCTGTCTCAACCTCCCAAGTGCTGGGATTGTAGGCATGTGCGACTACGTTCAGCACATATAGGTCCTTTAAGTCATCTCTAGATTACCTATGATACCTAATAGAATGTACCTGCTATGTAAGTAGTTTTTTAGTGAATATTAAAAAGCCCACTGCCTGCCTCGAAAGTGCAAGGTCCTGAGTTCGATCCCCAGCACAAAAAAAAGAAAAGAAAAAAGCCCAGCCAGGCCTGGTGGCACACACCTATAATCCCAGCCTGCAGGAGGCTGAGGCAGGAGGATTGCCATGAGCTCAAGGCAAGCCTGGCCTACATAGTGAATTCAAGGCCAACCTGAACTACACAGTGAGACCCTGTCTCAAAAAGACCAAACCCCCCACCAAAAGAAGAATGTAAGTTTATAGCTGGGCATAGTGCTGCATGCCTGTAATCACAGCACTCTGGCAGCCTGAGGCAGAAGGATCACAAATTTGAGTCCAGTCTGGGCAATTTACAAAGAACCTATCTCAAAAAAAAAAAAAAGAGAAAAGAAAAGAAAATTTTTTAAAAAGCACTGGGGGTGTAGCCCAATGCAAAGGTCCTGGGTTTAACCCTCAATACTAGGTTTAAAACAAACAAAAAAAGACTATAAGCGCCCCCCCTCCCCCGCCTCGTGCTGCCATCACAAATAACTTTAAGAACTGAGGCTCGTGTGCAGCCATTTTCTGTAATTTCTTTTCCTTTTGGTTGACTAAACAGTGCCCTTCTCTTCCCTGGGCAGGTTGATTTTAGCCTCCACCTTCTCTTAAACAGGAGCTCTTAATTTCCAAAATATTTATATTGATGAACATTTTCCATGTCATGAAATTTTTGGCTCTCCAAACGTCTAAAGGTCAGGAGACAAAAGGTTTTTTCTGCCTCTGTCTGAAGAAGGTCTGGAGAAATAGACCAGAAATGAGATTTTAAAGAACTGCACAGGGGGCCGGGGATTTAGCTCAGTGGTTTCGCCGCCTGCTGCGCAAACGCAAGGATCCGAGTTCGATCTTCGGTACCAAAAAAAAAAAAAACAACTGCACAGGCCTCGGTACATTTTCAAGGAGCGGCCGCCAGGTGGCGAGATAGGGAGAGGGCAAAAGCGGTGCACACGCAGTCTCTCTTGACAATCGCGCCGGAAGAGGAAGCGAACACGTGGGACGCTCTACGGTGGCCGAGGGAGACTAGGGTGCCTGAGCCGGTGTCCCGCAGCACTCGGGCTGTAAAGGGAGCATCGTTTCTGCAGTGAAGTCCCCAGGAGGGCGACGTGGCCGCCAGCACCATGGTGAAGGAGCAGTTCCGAGAGACGGATGTGGCCAAGAAAATGTGAGTCGGAGCGAAAAGAGCCAAAGGGCGGGGTCGCAGGGCGGAGGGAGCTGGTCCTGGGCTTTGCGGTGACTCTCCCGGAGCCACACCAGGAGCCCTTTTGGTTGTGGTGGTTGTTTTGTTTTGCAGTACTGGGGACTGAACCCAGGACCTTCCCACATTCCCAGCCGTCTGATTTTCTGTTTTGAGGCAGAGTCTCGCTAAGTTGCCCAGGCTGGGCTGGAACTTGCAGTCCTCCTGCCTCTGCTTCTCGGAGTGCGCCTCCACGCTCCGCCGATGACCCATTTATCTGCGCGAGTCTTTCCCCAGTAGGGGAGCGATCTGGGGGAGCGACCGGGCCAATTTGGGCTTTGCCGCAGAGCGCCTGGCACGGAGGCAGGACTTGCTGATCAAAGGATGTTGGCAGCCCGAAAAGTGTAGTACAGGCAGATGGGTGGGTGGCAGTCTAGGAAATGCCCGAGCGGTTGCCTCTGGCTGGAGTAGATGTATTGCCTTTCTCCTTCCTTGCATATGTATAGCGAAGGGCCCCTTCTTCTCACTGGAAAGTGAGTCCATCACTGTCACAGCGGGTAGGGAGGAGGGTACCGTGCTCTGTGCTCAGGCTGGGGACCGAGGATGCCTCATGAATACGACCTTCGCGGCCTCCTGTAGTTGGAGAAGGGAGACAAATCAGCCTTAGGTATAGTAAGGGCAAACGGAGTGCTTGTGGTGCCTAATAGATCCAGGCTGCCTTCTCCAGAAAGCATACTGCAAGGAGAAAGGGTGAGTGGTGAGAACAAAGTGGGAGGCTGAAAACCAGAGGAAGCATCTTGTAAGCAGCAGTGAAGAGCCCTTGAGAGGTTTTGTATGGGGAAAGGTAGGGTGTGGTGGTGCATGCCTATAATCCCAGCACTCAGGAGGCTGAGGCAGGAGGATCTCTGTAGCCACCCTGGGTTCTCACACCCACCCCAATAACCATGGTATGTAGGATACATTCTCACAAAGCACCCCAAATGATGGGTTAAAGTGCAGATTAGACCCCAGTGTGGTGGGGCACGCCTATAATCCCAGCACTTTAGGAGGCTGAGGCAGGAGGATCCCTGTGAGTTCAAGGCCAGCCTAAACTACATAGTGAGACCCTGTCTCCAAAAAAACAGAAAAATGCAAACTAGAGCCAGTGTGGTGGCATACATCTGTAATCCTAGCTACTCGGGAGGTTGAGGCAGAAGAAACCCAATTTTGAGTATAGGTGGGGCAACTTTGTGAGACCTTGTCTCAAAATAAAATTTAAAAAGGTGTGGATGTAGTTCAGTGGCAAGTGTGCGGCCCTGGGTTTAACCCCCAGTAATATTTTAAAATAAAATAAAAGCAGATTCAAGCTATGTCACCTCGAGCATGAAAAGCCGCTAGCAGCTTTTCATTCCACTTAAGTTTAAATTCCCTACAAGCTCTCAGGCTGTGCGTGCCCTGATGACTGCATCTTTTTGGGGGGGTTTTTTTTTTTTTTTTGGTACCAGGGATCAAACTTGGGTCCTTGTG